AATGGTTTAATTATATTTTTTCTTCAGTATTGTTTTGATAAGAGTTGAAAATTGTTCAGGATTTTCATCCTCTCTTTGCCCGTTTTCAGAGCTGTTCCCGCAGCTGGACCACCAACGAAGAGTCATCGAGAAGAGCGTCAAGATCCAGGGCGTTTCGAAGCTTAGCTCGCCGCACAGGGAAAGAGACCGGGGCAGAGACAAAGACCGTGAAAGGGAGAGGTCTGGACGGGGATACAGGAGAGAGGAGGAAAGACGAGGAGATAAGGAGCGCGGTAGAGAAAGGGAGAAACAATGGGAGGAGAGACATAAAGAAGGAGAAAGAAGCAGAGGTGGAGACAATAGAGGCCGAGTGTTTGGGGAGAGGGATCAGCTGGGCGGAGATAGGGATAGAGACAGCGAGAGAAATAAGGCGAATGAGAGGGACAAATTTAGCAGAGAAAGGGACAGGCCAGGTGGGGAGAGAGACCGACTGACTGGCGAGAGAGACAGGACATTAGGGGAGAGAGACAGGCCATACAGTGACCGAAGCAGAAGTACCGGAGATCGGAAATATAAGTTAATGTTAGAGGAGGACAGGAGGTACAGATCAGAGGCAGAGAAAATACACGACGAAAGGGAACCAGCTGAAGAATCGAAGTTGCGTGCATGTACGAAGAGCATGTCGAGAGAAAATGCTGACTCGGACCGTAACCGAGAGAAGTATAAGGGCTACATGAGAATGCCATCGACCGAGCACCACCTAAAGCCAACCAGGAATTCGAGGAGCGATTCGAGTGGGAAACCCTCGCGGTCAGCTTGGTAATCCAGTGATTTCATTTCCAGATATTACATTGTGATCCTCTAAACATTCCTCATCGAACAATTTCAGCGATCATGCTTGTTAGGAGTCTACTTACAACGTCAATTTTAATTGTTGAGAAAAAATGGATTTGCTAGTCATGAATTAAGACCTCAGGACCGGTAACTTATTATTTTAAAAGCTGAAATGCCTTTTGCTTAAGACAAAGAAATCCCATTATATTCTTGGGTATTGCCAAAGCCTGTAACCAGTGAATTTTGTGATACAGTCTATCCAAGCGATAAGTGATAGAGTTCTTAAGACAAGTTGAACATTTAATGTCATATAAGACGGTGTTGGGAGTGTATTCTATTCTTATTTGTTACATAAAACTTATGTGAGTATGGCATAATAACTTGAATAGCATTTTTGTTTGTGTTTAAAAGTTTATGCTGAAACCGGTTTTTTACTCTTTAATTTTAGATGCATCGTATTTTGAATGTCTTTTAAAGTGTATGTGAATGTGATTTTATAATGAATGTATTATAAATAAACATACATATTTTTAACCCTTTCAGAAATTAGCTTGGTTGTTTGAAATGTGGTTTTCTTGGAAAATTTACAGATTCTTGATTTTTTAAAAGTATATAGCTTCATATATTGTATATCTTATGACATGTTTTTTTCTTGTTTGCTTTACAGTTTGGTACCATAAATTTCTATAGACGTACACATTTTCAAAGAATAAATGCCACAGACGAGGTAACTTTCTTGGTTTACTGGGTAGTTTTGTTTCATCTCTCTTCGTGCCCATCTGTAAATCGGTTCTACATTAAATGGTTACTGAAAATCCTCCCCCTTTGACTTCAGTCAGATAAACATATCAGCAAATGCCGTTGAGCATATGCTAAACCAGTTTTACATCCAATTGCTAGTAAACTTCAGAGATGTCCATGTCTGAGAGCCCCCCAATCCCTTGCTCATTGTCGTTGTGGGGAGGCTTAGGAAAGGGAGACTGAGGCAAAATGTTGGGGATCACCCTTACCTTGGATCTTGGCCCTCGCCCCAAGTAATTTTGTACGGCCTTTTCTTCTCACCCCTCCAATCCCTTGCCCATTGTTTGCCGTAGGCTAAGGAGATGGCGACTGACACCCAATGGGGGGATCTCCCCTGCCTTGGGCCTCAGCCCCCGACTCAACTAATTTTGCATTGTCTTTTCTCTCTCCAGCTCTTTCGTTTCCGTTCCTTCTCCAACCACTTCTACTCTCTACTTCCTAAGGTGTAAGAGTCATGCTGAAAGGATGAAAGGCTGACTTTGCCAATCCTGAACTGCCCAAGGGAACCATAGGCACGGTATTCCCCTATTTTACTTGTTTAGCCCTTACCCCCTCAAGGGCATCCTGAGGGGTAGACTGTTTATTTCCCCAACATAGCCATGGCTTCCCATGGCCAGTAATGAAGATGTAATACCCATATTAGAGGCAATGAGGCTTGCCCCTTCATTGAATAGCCCCACCTTTCCTTTCGTATCTACATTGGTGGATAATCCCTCCCTGTCAGTGTCAAAACTGTCTTGGTGCTTTGGACATCCTGCCAAACACTGCCATTCCACAGACCAATGCACCCTATGTGCCTAACTCTCAGATACAAACTTGGTCTCACTCTACGTATAACCAGGCAGGAAGCACATCAACGAGTTTTCTCTCATACTCTCTCTAGTAATGTTGCTCTGCCCCTCACCCTCCAATGCAGGATGTTCCTACACCTACTTACTTCCCCACTTCCACCTCCTACCTTCCCTAGTTAAATTCTTTTGCCACTCTAAATCCAGACACTCCAATCTCAAATACAGCCCCAACACTGTCCCATTCCACCCCTTCTCCTAACACACACTCGCCTCCACCTACCTTTGCCTTTATTCCTCAGACACCAGTCTCTTCTTCCCCTCCTCATACACATACATTCCCCTTCCACTCCTTCCTGGATACACACAAGAATCCCTTACATAGACCCACCATAGCCCATTCACACATTGACTCCTTTTCCCATCTTTAACCTTTCAAGATTACTCTAGTGTGTTGGCGCATAGCAACTACCACCCTTCATCCCTCCTTTAATATACCTTCCTATAACGCTATATGACCTTGGAGGTCTAGCATTTATTTTGCTTTTTAACCATTAACCATTCTCACCCTTTCCTTTTCCCTCTCTTCTTCAGTCCACACCCTAAAGTGTGAGAGCCGTGCTTAAAGGAATGAAAGGCTGGCTTGTGTCAATCCTAAATGTCTTCGTATTCCGTTTGCTCTTCCTTTCTTTACCTTTGATGTCAAAGGTATGGTAGTGAAAAACATATTTCGTTCTTATTGTTAACTCATTTTCAACCTTTTCGCCACAATACTTTATCATAGTGCTGTATGACCTTACTTATCTGAGGACTTTGCCCCTAATGCTCACTCTGTCTCTATATTTTGGATACTCTGCTAATGGGGAGAACATTCTCTATAAATACAATATATTGGAGCAAATGAAAATACTGAATGTTCATTATACAATAAAAAAAATATATTAAGGACAAACTTTCAAATGGGAGCTATATTTAGCCTTATTAATCCCATCCAAATTTTCCCATTTAACATTCAAAAATATAAACTGGGTACTTGAATGGTATGTCTGAAAATTTTAATCTTATACAGAACTTTTTTTTTCTAGCATTCTCACAAAATGTTGTGATATTCAGCCTTCCAATTTCTTTTCTGTTCGGGTGCCACAACTTGTCCTTTTAACCCGTATTCATGAGGTTTTAATCACTCCATTAATATACAATTACCTGCGATTATTTTGTATGGTATCATATCCAACAGTATCTTTCCAATGCCCAATCATGTATTATTACATTGTTACTTTGCCAGGGCCACACTGTCAACCTCCAAGTCTCAATTTTAGCTAAAAGCTATAGTAATAATTTTGGCAACCCTTTGGCATTTGAATTCCCAGTCAGCTGTTTGTCCTCTTATCCTCGTGTATATTAGTGTTGTATGGACTCTCTCTCTAGTATCTATTAATTGTAGTTGATCAGAAATTCATTACTTCGTGATACTGAAGTGTCCCCTTCCCTCCTTAAACCATCTCAATATTTAGTCACTTAGCATTTTCCTTGTTTATTTTTATTCTTGTTACTGCAGTTCCCTGTATCCTTTCTTAAATACTCCTATGCATTTAACAAACTAATATGCAAAATTAACCATGCAATCACTTTCAAGAAAGTCTTTAGTTTTCTACATGTATGTACATCAGCAAAATTAGATGCATCACAGCACTTAAAAACAATTTCAAATAAATTATGTAATGGACTTAAATAACTTCTTATATACACATATATAATACATATTAGGTAGTATAAAAAATCTTGAAAGAGGATGAATATATTCACAATTCTTTCATGTAAGAGATATTACAGGGGTGTGTATATATTCAAATAAATATCTGAAGGAAATTTATCCTTCTGCCATCCAAACTAAAGCCATGTCCAGAAGGGTGGGCATCATCAGTGGGCAAGCCTATTGGGTGACGTCAAAGGCGGCTAAACTAATTACTGAACAATCAATTCCTCTTGCAAACTGGTTGTTTAGCCAGTAGTTTGCCACCACCTGATGTCACTACTCATGGCATCCCTGATAGTCATGCCCACACGTCTGGACATGGCTTAGGGTATTAGCCATACAATCAAGTTTATTTAAATAAAAAGAAAGCAATATCTGAAATATACTTGTGTATGGTTTCTAAAAACAAAAAAGCACTGAAGATCATCTGTATTGCTATCAATGGGCTTACTATTAGCAGTTACTTTAAATGTTCCTTAGAAAACTTGGCTACTTTATTTGTGTGTGAACATTGTAACAAACCTAGAATCACAATGACAAACATTTGACTGCATATCATTCTTTAAATGTAAATATATGCTGTAATTCTCAAAAGAAAACTGCACTTTTGATTTCTTGAATGTTTATGCAACAGAAAGTCAAAAGATTCACATTTTGAATCTTTTTCTCACCATCATTATTATAAAAGAAGTACCAATATTTACAAAAAAAAAAAACAAAAGTAAAAAGCAAATTCAAATGTACATCACCTATCACTATGACAAAACACTAAAAATATTTTTAAAATAAGCAAGAAGCCTATTACAAAGTCTATTGAGTGGGAAAATGAATAAGATATCCAGTTAAATGGATCGCTTTCTCTTTATTTCATAGTGGGAATAAATGTTTTCTTCTACATTTATTTAAGATATGTAAACTGAAATGATGTCTTTGGATAATATCAAGTAAGAAGTGTTTCAATCACTGTCACTTGGGTGTAAGGGAGAGAAGGGATACGAGGCAGAAGAAAGGAAATGAAATTAAAAGTGTGAAGTAACCACACACAGTTTCTAAGATAAGTCTAGTTGAGCAAGACAGTTCTATGCGTGCAGCATACTGTAAGTACTAGCTGGTGAGGCGAAGAATACAGAATAGCCTCCCTTTATACCATTTTTTCTCCCAATTCCTAAAATCCAAAATAATATACATCCCAAAATGAAGTAGTTAACACTAACTGTTGGCAATGTATCTATATAGTAATAATAATAATGTTCATAAGTAAATAGATCTGCTATCTAAATAAACAAAGATGAGATAAATAATATCAAACTCAACATGCATTTATGACTGTTGTTTAAATATACCATACATACATTATTAACTGCCTAAATCAAATTTTCAGATAAAACTACAATAAGTTACAAAAACTGCCATTTTACCTGTAAGGTTTGCAAGGTACATTAATACAGTCAAGAGCTGACAGCAGTATCGTGTATCCTTAGGATTTTTCTTTATTTGTCTAAGCTTACTTTGTCTATCATAAGCTAGCTCATAAGGATTGCAAAGTAACACACACTCCAGGAGACATTGAGTTTATTGCAATAAGACAACTACACAAGGTGTGTTGAACTTGCTGCTAAGAGTGTTGAGGAGGGGGCGGGGCCCCTCACTCGCTCTGGATCAGTATAAAAGCTGAGGGGTCTAAAAGAGTCCCATCCATTCAATAGTGTGGGGCCAATTAAAATTAAAAGACTGTGACGTAGGCGTGCCACGTGGGTGGTATGCAGGTGTGGTTGGTTGGGTAGGCCGCAGCCAATATTGTAATTCTTGCCACACCCACTAGCTGCCACTGCCACGTGAAGCAACACGAAGCCTTCCCAGAGTTGCCCATACAGTGCGCTTTTCAACAGCGTAACAATGAGGGAACGATATCAAGTCATACACATGGTAAAATGCCACAAGTTACAATAACATATTGGAACCTCAGCTAGCCAGACAGCATACCATCAGGGGCAGTGACAGTAGAGCATGGTGGCCAGGGGTGCCTAACCCTTTCCCTGAAAATAACAAGGGAACAGGTAATGGGTGTGTATTCTGTCGCCATGTGTCCCATAACATTAGCAATGGCCCCAGTTTCCCCAGGTTCCTCAGCAGCAAGTTGGCGCCATGGCCAGCAGGCAAGACAGCGTCACGGGTTACCCATGGCCTGGTCATTACTCTCTTCTCTATGGTGTAAGATTGGCAGGGTTCACCCATCATCAAACGCCTCTTGCACTTTGGTCACGCTCTTTACATTGTCAATGTAAACCTGTTTCTTATGTAAATGCCAGTAATAATGTCTTAGGCTTCAAAAATGTTCTTATATAGTGATCAGCATTACTTTCTATAGCATTTTCACAAGAGGGATATCTTCCAAAGGGTAACACCCTCCTTTTCTTAAAAAGCTCATTTCTAACCCTACTCTGTAGTAGCTACAGGAACCATCAATCCTGAGCCAGTAAACCAAAAGAAATCATTTAACAACTAGAAGAGAGACTCATGTGCATTACACACTTACTTTCCTTTAGTGGAGTAGTATCTTCTTGTATTAAATAAACAAGCACAGGTGCCCTTCCCAGTACCACTGAGTCCTTACTTAACTGACAAGATACAAAAATCAACCAAGAGTAACATATGCACCGTCCATATGCATTTTAACACTTCTAAAAGAAACCATAGCATCAATCATGTCTATGTTTCTAGCACAGCGTTGAAAGCTTTTCAAATAGAGAAAAATAAAGTTCACTCAACATTACGCACTTTGCCTTTCATAGAAATAAACCACAAAATCAAATTGTTCAACCACAGCAAATCTTGCCTCGCCACTGGGTTTATCATTTTATTTACGATTTTTTTTTTTCATTACTGATATAAATCTTCTTCCAAAGATAAGAACTTTCTCGTCTTAAGAAAAAATAATGGTAATAAAAAAAGAAAGAATAACTTTATGGATAATTAAAACATGATCTTTTAAAATAAGGAAGAAAAAATAAATTCAAACTTTGTCACCATCATGATACACGGTCCATTGAATACCACCTGCACTTTCGGACAGCTAAATGCCTCGCTTCATTTTTCACGGAAGCCTCCGCAATCACACGAGGCTTCATTTTGGCTGGCCATCAGCTGCTGTGGAGGGTGTAGCTGACACCTTGTCAACAGAAAGCTCCTCCTTGGTGGATGAAATTGACTCTGCTTGCTTGTCTTCACCTTTCTTCTCTGATTTTCCAGCTGTGTAAGGAAATGGGCTTCTTAGTGGATTTGTTGGATCAGAAAAAAGCTCTTATAGCTAAAAATATCTAACTGCCCCCCCCAAATATGCATAAACATCAACAATAATAATAATACCAACAGAAATAATAATGATGTTATAGTAATAACAAAAACAAAATATTAATGATAATGATAACAACAATAATAAAAAAAAATAAATAAATGAAATAAAATAATAATAATAGTAATAATAATACCAATACCAATAATAATAACAGTAAGAACTATAATAATAATAATACAAACAATAACAATAAATATAATGTTTATAATAACTATAAGTGGTGATCTGAAAACGAACAGCTGGAAAGGAAAGCATAAAACACCAAAAGAGGGCTAACCTTCCCGACTGAAGAACGCCTGGGTGGTGCTCAAAGCATCTGCCCGCAACTTGGCCTGTTGGGCTGAGCTGGGGGGGTTGGAGCTCCTCTGCTGGGACTGCTGCTGCTGGCCCTGTGACTGGCCACGGCCACCACGATGACTGCCACTGCTGCCAGAGCCCTGGGCTGCTGGTGGCCGCTGAATGGGGCCAGGATTTGGATAGCGCGAGTTAGAGGCCATTCCAGGAGTTGGGCCACTCAGAGTTTGTGTGCCCATGGGTAACTGGCCACGCAGACCCATTACCATGCCTGAAGACCTTAAACTTCCACCCATCATCTGAAATGAGTTTAGCAGTTGCAATTTTGTAAAATAAATGCAAAACAGTGAAGAGGCTCATCTTTCACAAGTAATATTAAACCTGATTCATTTACACTACCCACACAGTACATCACTAGCAACCTTTCTAACTGCCCTCTTAAAAACATGTCCTCCATAACCTTAATTCTCTAAGCCCCACCCTGGTAATGAATTCTGTTTTTTTTCCCCTCAAGAATAAAGAAAATATTTGTAAAGTTTCTTCAATCATACCTCTCCTATTAGTACAAGGATGATGCCATGAAGTCAGTAGGAATACAGAGGGTGGAGAAGGAAAAAGAACTACACTCACTTTTTGCAAAATATTATACTCTACTTCTATACTGAAATCTAATGACTACTTGAACTTTATCAAGATATTAGTCAACTATACCAACTGAAGACAGCACAGATGTAATAAACATCAGAAAATCAAGTTAAAAAAAAATGGCCTGCTTCACTTCAAAATCATCTCATATCAATGTAGCAGACACAGGAATCATCAGGGGCACATGCCTTGGAGCCGAGTATAGGATAATGTAGACTTCGGCTGCCCTGTTTAATGATAATGTGATGCCACTATTTTACAGTACAGTGTGATACACAAGCCAGGGCTCCTTTGGCTAGCAAGGATGGAGAATAGGAAGGAAGAATTGGACCAGTCACTGTTTTTGTAGAAATGTGAAAAGAAAAAGGCTTAGTAAGGCAAAGCTGCTGCAGTTGGAAAACAAAGTCAGAGAAAATGTGATGATAAAAAAAGGGGGCCCTGTGCTCCTAGTGAAATGACACCACCATTGCTAGCTGCTCTCCAGAGATCTCCATTACAGTGGAGAATATCTCAAAGTATCATTGTGACATTTCAAGTTATATGGAAAGAGAAGAGGAAAGAAGCAAGAAAGAAGAGAAGAGAGGAGAGGAGGGGAGAGAAAGAGAAGAGGAGAGAAGAAACATAGGAAAGGAAAGCAAAGGAAAGGAAAAAACAGGTGAGGAAAAAAAAGAAAAGAGCAAAGGAATGGAAATGAATGGAAAGGAAAGGAAAATTGAAAATTGAAAAAAAAAAAAAAAAAAAAAAAAAAAAAAAAAAAAAAAAACTAAAGAAAGGAAAAGGGAAAGGAGAAAGGAAAGGAAAAATGGAAAGGATAAAAAAGGAGAGATAAAAAAGGAAGAAAAGGTAACAAATGTTTGAATAACTAAAAATTCATAGCCCCAAAAGAAATTACTGAAATTATTAATCACATTAATGAGCTTTTAGTGAATACATGACTGCATGACAAAGGATTCTTGCTCATGGCCTGTAAGTGCCAAATAAATAGAAGAAGACACTTTTACATCACACTGATATGCAAAGTTTGAAGTGAATGGGGAGGGACTGCATGCCCTTGCATGGAGAACATAAATATATCATGCCCTTGGAATACCCATAAAAGAATGAGAACAAGTATATTACCTGTGTTGTATTCTGAGATGTATATGAGGCATTCCTATTTGAGCTTTGGTGTGACAAACCAGGCTGAGATGCCATTTTTCTGCTCTGAGTTTTGGGTGAAGATATTTGTGGTACTCCAGACACAGTATGTGCACTACTGGTGCTGCAGCTGTTGTTTACAGATGAGGATATACCACCTGCAAGTGTATGGAACACATTATGAATAAGTGATCTTTAAGTTCATAATAATCATTAGTGAAGTTACTCAGACAATACCTCACATGCAGAGGTATATCATGAAATATTGTGAGTAAACACTGCAAAGATTGGTAACAGCAGGAGCAAATATGAATTCATGCACCTTTTTGAAAATTAATAACCACAACGAAAAAAGTGAATAAAGCTGTAGTCTTGTCTCAAATACACAAGTACTTCTACATACACAGGAGTCTACTCACTTGAAGTTGGGAAAAATGTTGATGAGAAGGAATTCTGCCCAGCTCCTGGGGACTTGAGCTGCTGGCGGGCAGTATCCTGAATGTTGGCTCCAGGTTGCAATGACTTGAGGAAGCTTGCAGGAAGTGTGGGAGCACCTCGAAATGGCTGAGCTCCTAGTTGCTGTGCTGCAAGGCCCATACTAGACCCAAAACCCTGCATTCCTACACCTGCTGGTCCAGGTTGAGACTGATTACCAAAGCCTTGTAGGCCATAGGCTGCAGGTGGAGTCTGCAGAGGTGGCTGTGCTTGCTGCTGCACTGCTGCTTGAAGGGGAGATCCAGAGGCAGTGTAGAACCCTGCTGGCTGCTGTGGGCCTCCAGGACCTGCTGGAGGTGCTGCAGGTGGACCTCCTGGGGCTCCAGCACCATTGTTTGAGTAGAAAGAACTTGGCTGCTGTATTGTCTGAATAACAGAATTTTGCACGCCAGGTCGCTGGACCAGCTGGGATCCTAAGAGACCCATGGGCTGACTGGGATCATATATGTACAATTGCGAGGGCTGAGGACCACCTTGCAAAGCAGTTCCTAGGCCACTCTGCTGGAATGGTGTCCCAGCCTTAGACCCAATGGTACCAAAATTCTGCTGTGAATTGCCGAAAGTTTGTGAAGAGGGTTTCACTGCTGATGACATTAGGGAGTTTGATGCAGATGATATCAACACTGTATTTTGGTTCTGAGGTTGACTCTGCCCAAAGCCAGCAGGCTGTAAGCGGTACTGCGATAGGTTGTTGGTATAGAGATCAGCTGGTGTTGTGAGTGGTGGTGGTGTTTGCAAGAACATGGACTGCTGACCAAATGCATTGCTTCCCAACCCTTGACCAAGACCATATGGTGGATACTGTGAGAACTGTGATGCTCCTCTCTGTCCCAGCACAGGAGCACCATCCAAAAATGGCTGGTAGAGGCCAGTCTGCGGCAGCTGCTGGTTTGAATTATACATCATGGGAGGTGAGGGAATGGTTCCACCAATGCCACCAAATGCAGCAGCTCCACTCAAGGCTTGATAGATGCTGTTATTGGATGGCCCAGCTGAGCCTGAAGCCAGAGGTGGTGACAAAGATCCACTGGGGATCCCCAAGGATGATCCTCCTGGGCCTGGGGACACTGAACTGCTTGCTGCTTGTTGCTGAGGCTTTACCTTGCACACATTGCCAGAGCGACTGACTTCAGCCTTGGCTAAGGATGCTGCAGCTGATGATGTGTATGCTGCTGATGATGTGTATGCTGCAACAGATGAGGTATAGACCATTCCGCTGCCCATAGCTGCTCCCTGCTGTAGCGGTGATCCTCCTTGGTATCCACCAACATCTTGAGAAGGATCCTCACAATTCCCAACAGTTGCTGAATCCTTTGTTGTGAATGAGGACTCTAATGCAGGTGAATGATCAAGTCCTGCAACACTATCCACAGCAGAGAAACTAGCAGTAGAAAATGCCACTGAACTTGTGACATCTTCAGCATGCTCTGGCACAGGTGCCATGGTTTCCCAGACCTTCTTGACAGATGCAATTTTCAAGTTTAGATCATCTGTTGATGGTGAAATAGGGCTCTGCATACTTCCAGATGTCATCACCAGTGATCTTGGAAGGCTGATGCCCTTGGTGCTCACAGATCCTGGCACTTCTGCTAGCTCAGAATCAAAAGTAAAGTCTAACTTCATATCAGCACCATTTTCTTCCACTTTGGTAGAGAAACTCAGTGGCAATTCAATTGGTTCAGGCTTTTCAGACTTTTTATCCTTCTCCTCTTTTATGGCAAGGGATGCCTCTGGAGAAGCACTCTTCCTGTCTCTGCTTTCACGTTGTCTCTGAGGTTTTGGAGCTTCGCCAAATTTGGCCTTATACTCGGCACCAACAGTAGCATTTACGGTTCCTGCAGCCTTGAAATTGGTGTTCTCAAAAATGATGGTCTGGGAAGGAACTGAAGTCCCATCCAATGTTGTTTTATCAACCTTAGCAAAGTTAGTTGGGTCATCACTTGGACTTGACCGCTGACTACTGCCACCAGAGTTGGGCTGGTCACTAATTTCAACACCACTGTCATGGTTATCGAATGAAGGTGGTTTGCTTCCACCCTGGCTGACCCCATCTGCTCCTGCTGCAGCCTGGGAAGGTGAGTTTGCTCTCAATGTTGCTGTTAGGGGTTTATCCCAAGCATTCTTTGGTGGTGGCAATGAAGCAGAGTCTTTTACTGGGAAGAGTGTGTTGGTAGGAGATTCAACTGGGCTACATGAGCCAGCATTCTTTATAGCATTTATACGATTATTTTCTCGCTGCTTGGCTAGCCTTGGGGGTAGCTTACTCTGACGAGATCGCTCAAATCCACTTGACTTGCTGGATCGACTCTTCTTCTCTTTAGGTTGTTTTTTGGCATTAGAGGAAGGAGCAGGTCCAGACACAGTAGTTGTCCCAGCTGTTCCTGTTGCCTCTGTAACTACTGCAGTAGCAGCGGCAGCAGAGACTGTTTCCTCAGGCATTGGCTTGCCCTTTTCCTTGCCAGACTTGCGTCTTGTGACTTGCTGAAAGCCATCATTGGAATCAAGAATATCACCGATGAGTTCAGAAACCTGTGGCTGGTCATCTACAATCACAACACCTGAAAATGAAAACATTTGAAAGTTAATATTATGGTCATCATCTTTGTCAGAGTATTTTGTTATATCATTGATACACACCACCATTCTTTTTCTAAATCTTTTTATACACTGATATACTACAACAGAAAGTTATACTACACAGTGCAAAATAAATAATTCAAAAGAAGGGTCCACACTAATGTTAGAATTGGATGCAGCAATCTATGTCAAACATTAGTATTGTTGCTTTAGCACAAGTTGCCGAACATATTTAAGTAACCAATACTTTAACTGTCTAGTCTAGCTATGTGAAAGAAAATATTAAAGAAGTAATAAACTGATGAAATTGTGTGGCAATAATAAAAGGGGGAAAAATAATTGAGAATCAAGGAAAAACTGAACCCATCATTAGTACTGGCAAAAGTCCCACATTAGTAGTTGCATGCTCTGAAAAAACTATGAAAAGCACAATGGAATTCAAAAACAAAAACAAAACAAACCCAAAATAAAGTATAAAAATAAACAGGGCCATACAAAACATTTAGAATCAGCTTGGTGAAATAAAAGGCTCCAAAATTTTTCCCTTAGCTTATGCTAAAGCAATCAAAATCACCTCACGAGGGCAACATTTGACCTTATTCAATTCATCATGAGTTGGTTGACATGGATTGTTGTGGAAATGGCAACAGGAAACTACTTACTAGCATAATTATTCAAGTCGATGCCCTCCAATGGGTTGGCTTTCTCTTGCTTGGGCTTACTTTTGTTGTTGACTTCAGAGAGAGCCTGATGTACCATGTTAGGGTTTAACTTTATCTCATGCACTTGATTGACAGTAGTTTCATTTTTTGTGCCCTTTCCACTTGTTGGTCCACTCTTATTTCTTTCATTTTTATGGGGAGCCTTCTTCTCACCAAACCTCTGCTGGCTGGCACTCTGGGGAGCACCTGGGCCATCAACTTTAGATTCCTTGCCAAGTGAATTGCGGCCCTGGGACGACCCCCCACCTGATGAGGGAGCCCAACTACCACCACCGATCTTCCTGTCTGTTTTGCTTCCCTTACGATGGTCGGGTTTAGGGGCTGGGTTCGAAGCCTTCTCTTTGTTCTCCTTCCGAGCCTCAGGATCACTACTTTCAGATGCTGTTTCCCAATCAGCCTCTTCAGTTGTCTCAGGAGTCCCTTCTTTTACACCTGGCTTGTTTGCTGGCGTTAAAACCACTCCGACCCCCCCAGAGCCCAAGACCGATGATGACACAGGTGTCCCTCGACCTCTCTTGCTACCGCCACCACCCCCTCCACCACCACCACCACCATTATTGCTGCTGCTGCCACCACCACCACCACTTCCACTGACGCCATTTCTTTGACGCTCAAATTCACGACGTTTCTGGAATCTAGGTGGCATACGGTCAAACCTACTCTGCTGTTGTTGCAGCTTGCGTCCAGCAGCATCTGTCTGTCCTGCCTCTACAACAGTTGCTTTACCCTCATCAGCAGTACCTGCCTTGCCACCACCACCACCACCACTAACACTGTGTGCTGGTGCTGACCGCCCCCTGCCCCCAGCATGGCCCTGAGGGACTGAAGCTCCTGTTGCTCCACCACCCCTGGAGCCTCCCCGCCTGGCTTCCCCACGCCCCCGGCCGCCACCTCGACCTAACTGGGAGCGCTCACCATCGCCGCTCTCCTCCCGGTTGTTGGGTTGAGCAGAGCCACTGTTGGTGTTCTGGTTGCTGCTGGTGTTGTTGCTATTCCCTCCACCTCCTTGGCTGTTCCAGTCTCCCTCGCAGCTGTTGCTCCAATCATCCTGCAATATGGGCAAATAATTGTATTATTCTTCCAATTCAACTCAATGCATAATCAAATTTTTCAGTAAGACAAAACTTTATTATTTGTTATCAATTGAGCCACTTACCTTTCGTTCACGGTGAGAACGTGGATGGTAATCTTCATAATAATATTCCTCTTCACCTCTGTAGTTGCGCTTTTGGAATCTTGGTGGTGGTCCTCTTCCTCTGCGGTTGAAGTCCCCACTGCGACTCCCTCGGCCACCACGGTAAACAGGATAGGTGCTACCTCTGGGTCCACCACTGCGACCTCCACTTCGGGAGGATTCGTAGCGATTTCCACGGCTGCCACGGCCTCCAGACGACACTGGTTTGCTGCCCCCGCCCCGCTCGGCACTCTCCCTCTCAGCCACTTCTCCACTCTTCCCCTCAGTGGTCTCTCTTCCGCCGGTTGCTGTTTGAGAAGACCCTTGTGCCAGAGTAGTGGTTGTAGTGGTGGTGGTTTCTGATGTGGTCCCGGCCAGCGGTTGAGGTTTCTGATTTTGTTGTGACTGTTGTTGCTGTATTGGTGGCTGGTGCTGGATCTGCATTAATGGCTGAGGTTGCTGCTGCATCGGCTGTGGTGCTGGTTGTGTGGTGCCAATTGGCTCTTGAGGAGTAGGCACCCTTGCCACTGTTGGTGCTGTTCCCTCGGTGGCTGTGGTGCCGGTGTTGGTGGTGTTGGTGATAGTGTTGCTGACCTGACTCACAGTTACTGTTGTGGCTGTTGTAGTGATTGGGGAGGTGCTCTCGCTGTTTGTGGTTGTTTGTTTGGCCACGCCCCATATGTTGGACTCCACGGCCTTGGTTGTGTTGTTGCCGGCTGTGCTGGTGGTGGTTGTTGCCAAACCGCTGGAATCGGGGCGGGAGCGTTCTGCGTTTTTTGAACGGCTCGCCCAAACATTGTCTCTCTGTTCCTTGGGATGAACCACTTCTTTCACTTCTATCTTCCTTACAGGTTCTCCCTGAGACTTTTTGAGTGTTGTCATGTTTTTTCTTATCTCTTTTTCCTTGTCTGAGGCCTCTAGTCTCTCCCTGGTGATGGGAGCTGGAGCATGAGTAGCACGGGCTCCTTCCTTTAGCATTTCACGGTGAATCTCTTTCTCTTCTTTTGTTGCTTCCTCTTCATTTCCTTTGGGGGGTTTTTCCTCTTTGACCTCTAATTTCTTTGGAGACTCTAAGAGGGTCTGTTCTCGACCAAATTCTTCCCCTCTGCCTTCTGATCTGTAATAGTCATCATACTCATAGGTGGCATCGGCCCAGGAAGTTATCTCCAATTTCTTTTCCCTTGCTGGTGCACTTGAGGGGCATCGCTCAAAGGAATCCTTGCTAGCTCGCGAATCCCTGCTGGCTCGACTGTCTCGGCTGTCGGGTCGCTGTGGCCTGTCACGCATTTCATCGCGCAGCTCCATCTGCTTCTCTGCAGCTTCTACTTCCTTGTCCCATTCTTTATGCACCATCCGGAGCTCACCCGAATCATAATCTGGTTCCTTAGGAATAACAGGGTCAATTTCATATGAGCGACCCCATGACTCTATTTTATTGTCACTACGGCGCTCAAGGAAGTTCTCGCTCCTGTCAGAGCGGTCACTTCTATCATCAAAGACTTTACGGCCCTTGCTTCCCTCCCTTTCAAAGTCTCTGCCCCGGTTGTTCCAATCTTCACCATTCATGTTTCGCCTGAAAACACAAGGGGTTATTCTTTTATTCTTAAACAAAATCTAACATTTACTTACAATCTTGCATATAATTATATACAATGTGTATCCATTTCAATTGGGCAAACATTAAAATATGGACTAATGACAGATGAATTCTCAGAATTGTACTGAACCCTTTCAATTCCATTATACAACTTCCAATGCTACAAAGGCTTACATGTCATTCTTCATGATTCGAATCTTAACTTAATAAAATGAGTTAAATGGGAAAGCTAACCGTCTATCATAATCTAAGTCTCGTGGCTCAAGACGTTCCTCAAACTTTTCATAATAAGAGGTTCGTGCCCAGCAATCACGGTCACGGTCCCGATCCCGATCACGGTCGCGATCACGGTCCCGATCCCTATAATTTCCTTGGGAGCCGCGGCCTCGATACCTCCTGTAAGAACAAAATTTGTCATACAGCTTTTTTAAATATAAAAAGTATATTCTCTACTGGTTAGAGAAATGTTAGTTTTTCAGGTAATAAATTAAGTTGAAGTATTTCAAAAGACTAGAACTAACATCTCATCTACCTATTAGTATCAATGCACACATCCAATCTAAGAATACTTGTATTCCCTTACCCATCTCTATCTGGTCTATCGTAGAATTCATCTCTGCCTCGGGAATCGACCCTTTCTGGTCGTTCCACTCGCTCAGGTCTGTCAATGCGCTCTGAACGATCAGGCCTGTCAATTCTTTCTGAACGATCAGGCCTATCAATTCTTTCCCCACGGTCTGATCGGTCAATTCTCTCTGGGCGATCAGGTCTGTCAATGCGCTCTGAGCGGTCAGATCTTTCAGGTCTCTCAATCCTGTCTAGGCGCTCTGACCTATCATTTCTATCAGATCGATCATATCTATAGTCTCTCTGGTCAGGGCGATCCAGCCTTTCCTCTCTATCATCCCTGTGACGTTCTGCTGAAAGTCCACTTGCTGGCCTCTCATCTGTGATTTCCCCAGAGGTATCACTGTCTGTCCTCATTCTCCTCTCTTTACCTGTATTAATAAAACATACGAAAAGTACAAAATTAATATAATAACGGGTCCTTCAATAATTCTAGTCTATCTCAGAAAAAAAAAAAATATATATATATACAATCATAAAACAGACTGATAATAGATTTTCATTATCAGAATGATCTGATAAAAACCATTCTTAACACAGCAATAACACATTTATAGTACTGAAACACCTGTTTTACTTCTTTTCAACCTCGTCTCTAAATGCAAATACCTTTAAAGCTTTGTCACAATTGTTTTATATCTTTTCAAACTTGTCTCACAACATATATAACTTTAAATCTATGCATTTGTACTAAAACAATTTAGCCACTTACTTTCATTATCCCGATTCATAAACCTTCCTCCTGCATTAGAACCAAAGCGTGGTTCGAATAATGGAGCTGCCTGTGAATTTTGTCCACGGAAGGGTTGGCCGCCCCCTCCTGCACGCATCATCTCTTGTTGCTGTTGTTGTTTCTGGAACCTCGGAGGTAGCTTGCTTTTGAACTGCGAGGAAAACACTGGCTGTGAGTCCCGCTGTCCATCGCGTCTATCAAAAGGTCTGTCATATTGCTCACGTGGATGATCCCTGTAACTGTCCCTATAGTTTTCTCGGCGGTCTGGGTGTTGCCGATAGTCCCGCCCATCTCGGCTGGGAGGCTTATCATCCCTTGACTCACTACTGCCACGTGAGCGTTCCCTGACATTATCAGGTTCTTCTCTCTCCCTTTCATCAAAAACCCTTGGATCTCTGGACTTCTTGATAACTTTGTTCTGCTCGAACCTTTTCTTCTCTTCATAACGCTTCTCCTCCTCTTCATGGCGCTGCCTTGCACGCTCCAAGGCAACCTGTACCTCATCTCCAGGGACTCGTTTATCACGCCATGAATCCTCTTCTTCCCTGGGGTGCGATGATGGTGACAATGATGGTGCATGAGCTAGCTGATGAGTTGGAGGATGCACAGGGGTGAGAGAGGGTGGGCGAGATGGGGGATGCACAGAGGTGTTTGCAGGTACAGTATGGGGGGAGGTGTGTGCCTGCACATGTTGGGGGGGACAGCCTCGGTTCCCAGAATTCTGAGGGCCCCCATAATCACGACCAGATCCTCCACGATAATCAAAACCTCCTCGGTGTTGCCACCTTTCAGGGTCACCTGGAGAGAATCTGCGGTCACGATCCCGACGTTCTTCAGCCACGTCACGCCTATTGTCACGTTCTCTAGAACCTTGGGGATTTTTCTCTCGCATGGCAGATTCTCTCTCAGGTTCTCTAGACACTTCACGGCGTTCCTCTGACTCTCGGCCTATATCACGGCCTCTGTCTTTTTCCCATCTATCCCTTCGATCCGACTTCCGTTCTGTATTTCGTAGGGCATCAACTTCATCTTCACTGAAGTTCAATTTTTGGCTGAAAAAAAAATGAGTTCATTAAATTTGCAAAACAATTCTTTATTTTATGAAAACAAATCTATTATAAATTAGAGAGAGAGAGAGAGAGAGAGAGAGAGAGAGAGAGAGAGAGAGAGAGAGAGAGAGAGAGAGAGAGAGAGAGAGAGAGAGAGAGAGAGAGATATATATATATATATATATATATATATATATATATATATATATATATATATACATATATATATATATATATATATATATATATATATATATATATATATATATATATATATATATATATATATATATACATATATGTATATATATATATATATATACATATATGTATATATATATATGTATATATATATATATATATATATATATACATATATATATATATATATATATATATATATATATATATATATATATAATATATATATATATATATATATATATATATATATATATATATATATATATATAATATATATATATATATATATATATATATATATATATATATATATATATATATATATATATATATATATATATATATATATATATATATATATATATATATATATATATATATATATATATATATATATAATATATATATATATATATATATATATATATATATATATATATATATATTATATATATATATATATATATATATATATATATATATATATATATATATATATATATATATATATATACATATATATATATATATATTATATATGTATATATATATATATATATATATACATATATGTATATATATATGTATATATACATATATATATATATATATATATATTATAATATATATATATATATATATATATATATATATACATACATGTATATATATATATACATACATACATGTATATATATACATACATATATATATATATATATATATATATATATATATATATATATATATATATATATATATATATATATATATATATATATATATATATATATATAACAAAAAATGCATATTATGAAGGATGTGACACATTCTAATCCAAAGAATTTTACTTTTATTTGCTAAAATTGCTCTTTTTTTTCCCCTTTGTTAAACAAAAAAAATTATCTGATGATTCTGTAGGAATCATTTAACCCTACAGAGAGTGAGGAAGTAATTCTGATACATTTGGCAAATCTTTGCTGGCTACAACCCCCATTTTTCCATTTCATTATGCTCCTTTCTGTGATAGGACACATGTATGAAATAAGACTTAATGTAATATATGGTAGGCACAATCATCTGCTTAGTGCCCCCAGTCTCCCTGAATCAAATGCAAGAATGCTTTGAAGCACTGGTCCGACCTCTCTCCTAATTGTGAACGAGCAAAGTAGGTATAACAAGAATTCTTGTAAAGTATTGCATATACAGCCTCCAACACACACACACACACATTCTCATTTCCATTTCCTTGGTACTCTCTAGTGTCTCTGAACCAATCCTATGAATGCCTTTTAGCAGTGTCCCTGCTTCTTCTTTTATGTGAATAAAAGTATCAAGTATAAAATGAGAATTCCCTTCACATGTGCTTCGCTCTTTACTCCATCATCATCATTATGTATGCCTCTACCCCTCTCCTTCTCCTCCTATTCCTCCTCCTTCCCCTCCCCCCTTCTCTCTCTTTCTCATCAGTTCAAGGTTTACATTTCCTGTTGTTTTTATATTCAAGGTCTATATACATTAAAGATAAATATTGGAGTTTGGTAAAATATGAACATTCAATGCCCATTTCCATCTGGTCAGCAAGGAATGGTAAAGAAATTGTGGTCTTTGGAAGTTAAAATCAAGATGACTTCATAAATTAACATGCTTGAGATTTGCTGAACATGACTAGAAAGTCATTTAGCAAATGTCATATTCAGGCCAATGACAATTATATCCTTGACTTTCAATCACAAGAATATATCTAACAACTAATCACTTTACTTTCATTAGGATGGCACAGAAACAAAATGTATGGATTTACACTGAAAAGATAGAACATAAAAGTTTCATAAAACCAATACTTACTTATAATCAACTTCCGCTGCACTAGTAGCCCAGCCTTCTGTAACACATGGATCATCCTCAAACCCTTCCAGGGCCTCCTTCTTTATAATAGGAGGAGGCACAACTATATCTTCCTCACTGTTGCCTGAAGGGGAGGGTCCATTCCCTCTATACCTCTGGTCACGCACGTAGGGAGCACGAGGATGACCTGGGTAATTGGGGGGAAAGGCTCCAGGGAAGCTATTACGCATTACTTGCTGAAATTGAGAGAGAAGGTAATTTTTGTTATTATCACTATTACTTTTTTAGATCAAAAGATGGACTTAACCTGTTATTAGCAGAGAAGATGCATTGCCTATTATGGTTTATTTTGTATCAACACATTTACATTTCAAGATGTTTAGCTCTAAAAGCACTTTGTAGTCAAGGATGTCAATAACTAGGCTTTTAGGCTTTTAGGCTTTTTTTTTTTTTTTTTTTTTTGGGGGGGGGGGGGGGGTCTTAGGAGCTCTTACTTTTAGCACTATTGCTATTGTTATTCATATCAGAATAATATTTATAAAAAGATGATAATGATATTAAACACAATAATAGCACTAGGACTAAAACCTTTCCTCCAAAATTTATGGCACTGGGTTATATTGTTGTAGTTATGTAAGCCTCATAGTTAAGTTCTCGGTGACTAAATACTCGGGGAACGATCAACACTGAAGAAATTTTCTTTCATAACTTTTAAATCTAGCCATGGCATAGTTGAGACTTGATATTTACTGTATGGATCTATCCACTATATATTTTTAGCTACAAAAATTAAACAATGTACTGCCTCGTTATGGTCTAAAGAAAAGAAAAGAAAAACAAAGAATAACAAGTAAAAAAAAATCTTGCCAATTTTGAGGCAGAGGGGAGGGCACTATACCAACCTAAATTTGATTGTTAGCTACAACAAATAAGAATATTGTGAAGAGATAAAAAACAAACTTAGTAGCATAAGTGAAAGTTAAATGTATCCGGTAGTATTTGTTTATATTAATTAATTAATTAATTAATTATATATATATATATATAAATATAAATATAAATATATAATATAATATATATATATATATATTGTTGTGTATGTGTGTGTGTGTGTGTGTGTGTGTGTGTGTGTGTGTGTGTGTGTGTGTGTGTGTGTGTTGTGTGTGTGTGTGTGTGTGTGTGTGTGTGTGTGTGCTAAAAATGAAATACATCTTAGACCATAAAGGATATTCACATTCAGTTGTGTTGCTTAAAGTATACTGCTCATATATGAAACAGGTCTTCTGTGTACTCACATAAGGAGGAACAACTCCTCTATACTGTGGTGTAGGACCATGAGGTGGTGCTGGCCCAATTGGACCAACAGGGCCCCCCGGAACTCCTGAAGGACCACCAGGAGGGGTCCCTCTTGATCCCATCCCCTGATTACGATTCGGGGGATGAATATCGCCTGCTAAAGCAAAAAAACTTACTTAGAATAAGAAATGTATATCATGAATAATGGAGATGGTATTAAGTATTGACTATTAGTCCTCAATTAGCAATAGGCTGAATTTAGGCTTACCATTAAATGTGCCTGGGTTTTGTGGACTGGGCAGGCGCTCATCCTGCGGTGCTTGAGCTACACCACGTCCACCACCCTGAATCCAACTTCCCTCTGCTACGAATCAAGAGAAAAATAAGTATATCTTAGTTTAAAGTCATATCAAATTTTACTCATTGTATATTTCAAGTTTAAATGCTTTTAAATCACATTTCCTAAATGAAGGGAACTGAAGCCAGACTCACTCTGTGGCCGTAAGCTGGGGCCCGGCCCATACTGAGGCGATGACTCTGCTAGTGAATTGCCACCACCAAGTTTGGGGAACTCCCGCTGAAAAAACGGCGACTGTTGGACTGAGGAGGATGGTAGGGGACCACCATCCAGTGGGAGTGGTGCCCCAGGGGAACCACCAGCTGCTGCTCCAGCGCTTGCTGCACTGCTCCATGGTTTGTTTTGGCTGTTGATGTTGTTTGCAGCGTTGTTTGTAGTATTGTTGGTGGGTGTGTTGTTGTTGATACTGTTCATATTGCTGCCAATATTGTTGCCTGGGATGTTTGGAGTGGTTGTGGTCTTCATTGTGGCATTGTTGCTTGTATTTGTGGTTGTTGTTGTGGTCGTGGAAGTCATGGATATAATGCTGGTACTGAGGTTGTTCTGGTTTTTGTTTTTGTTGGCACTCCCACTGTTGCTGTTGGCTACGTTGTTTGGCGTATTTATGCCTCCACCAATGCCACTTTCCAAAAGCTGACTGCCACCAACTACTGGAAATAAAATAAACAGAAAGGAATATATAAAATGTAATTATTTTTGTCTATATTATGCCACTTTCAATGGAAACTACTCATTACAAATAAGGAAAATGACACTCATCAACATTCATCTTTCATAAATGCTTACAGCCTCAAAGTAACAATCAAGACTCTGATAGGAGATATTACTATATCTCATATAACTCTTGGCCTCGAGAGTGAATTAGAAGTCCCGAGGAGTCAGTCTAAACACTAGA